TTTATTGAGGATTTTACTATTTATATAGCACTGCTCTAAGGAAGATAACATTTGTTAATATCTAACACTCACAATACCATTATAAAGTGCATACATTTTACAAATGAGAAAACTGATGTCCAGAAAGTTGAAATAGCTTTTCCTAAGGCAACAAATACGTTTAAGGAAATCACATGAACACACAAGTCCCACTGGTAATTCTTTTTTAAAAATGGTCACTTTTACATGGAAATTCCCACTCTTTTTCATTTATTTTTTCTTTTTGTTGCATTGAAGGCTTCTGTCAGCATACTAGTAAACTGAGGTATATTTGTGAGCCCTGTATTATGTACTCCTATCAGCATGTGAGTAAACTGAGGTAGAGTTGTGAGCCCTGTATTATGTAGTCCTAGAATTATTTTAAATTATTCCATATATTTCAGTTTAACTTGTAGAGGATTTGTAAAATATTTGACAATGGCTCTCAGCTTAGAATGGAACCAGAGCTTACGACTAATCTTGAGGATCTTGCTTTGTTCTTAAAGGGATTTAAGTTTATGAAGGAATTGAGATTTAGAGGATTTTTAGCTTTGAAGACCAGTGAAGGTTGGGAATTTAATTTTCTTTCTGTGCTAAGTATCTTCTCAAATGAACATTTGTTGTTATCAAAAGTTACCCAATGTGGCAGATTGTCATCTGGAATTACAGTATAAATACGTATACCATATCAAGAGCAAGGGTCTAGGATAGAAGACGCATGAACTTTGGTGTCCACTGATAAAAACTCATGAGTCTAGCAATGGCCATTGGAAAGCTTTGCTTTTGGTCTTGTGCTTTGGGCCCCCGTCTGTCTATGACTCCTGGCAAAAGAGAAGTTTAGGAAGGAGACGTCTTGCAGTGCCAGACTCTCATCAACAAAATAAAACAATGCTGAAAAAGCTCTCTTGACATTTTAATAATTGGCCTGAAATAGAATTTATCAGAAGGATGCCAGTGTAAGGAGAAATTTCTGAACTCCTCCACACCTGGGGTCAAATCAAGAAACAGATTTATCAATCGCTATGTTCTCGCTTCTTCCTAATGAAAACACTTTCATAGGTTTCCAAAAATAATGATGAGGATCAATATATAGCAGACAGATTTCCACTGAGAATGACAAATTTCAAATCTGATCAGTTAATCAAGGGATTCCTAGGAGACAAAGTAAAGTTAGCTTTCGAGAACTCAAGAAAAACTTAAAACCAATACCTGACTTACCCCATCATCACAGCCAGAGACCTTAGGCAGAAGCTCAAAGGGCCTCAGTGGAACCTACTGTTTACAAGTTTCAGATCTTAGACCAGGGAAGCAAGACGGTCTTGAGTGGATATTGGAGAAACCACTAGATTGCTGAACTCTCCTAAAGTATCACTACAAAAACTGTTACTAAAGCTCAACTTTAGAACTTACTGCTTTTAGAGACAAGAACACCTTGACAGTTTTTACAGTGTTAAAGACTGGAGAAAACATCAGTAGTTTAAGGCATCTCTATCAAGGCAAGGAACTAAAGAACTAATTAGAATTTGGCAAATGTGTGTACAGTTCTGGATTGGTGAAAACTGCCAAGGGAGGGTCCTGAACCAAGTCTTGATCAGAGAATGGTTTGGCTAAGTTGGAAAACTATTGTCTCTGACAAATGGATCAGCAAACATTTCCTGAAACAAACAATAAAGTTATTTGTTCATTTCCAGTCTTATCTTTTCCAGGTAAACTTTGCCTGGAACAAGGAAGTAAGTCACGTTGACACTGGTGGTTATGTCATGTTGATGTGAGTCTTGTTGACATATATATCGTCTGGTGTCAACATGAAAAAAAAAATCCTTCCCCAGTCTTTGTGTTTCCTGTTCTGATATTCTGAATTCTCAAACCTTATTCTTCTCCATACTTTCATCTCCCTCTTTTGTCCTCCTACCTGATTCTTGCTTATACATTTATTTCACCACTTCACCTAGCAGGACCCTGGAAGTCTTCAGTCTTTTAAAATACCTCACCATCCTGGCTATACTTTCTCTTCATTTACTAATTCATTAATTTTCAGATAATAACAATCCAAATTCAATCTCTTCTTTGTTAAACTATTCCCTGCTCATCAGATACGTGCCAAGTTTTTTAATTCATTGGCAAATTCAGAGACCAATGGCAAGTATAAGTAAAAATATTAATTTCAGCTACATGTAATTTAAGAAATAATCACCTTCAACAAGCAGTATAAAGGTAAAAGTTAAAATAATTAGAAGTTTTAAATATATGTTCAGATGCCAAATTACATGGATTACATTATAATATTTCAAAAACAAATTGTAGTGTGGAAATTTTATATACCATCATTCTACTAGACACATCAGTTAGAAAGTTAACTTGGAAGTGGGTCCTTCAGCCAAGTACTGGAGTCAGAGATGTTAGAGGTTTGCCATTAAATAATGGTAAAATCAAATACTGAAGTACCCTTCGGGGATCATATTGCTACCTCTTTGGGGATGTGGCTTTTTACTGTGGTCTAGCAACACTGGTTTTCTGAAGGATACAGTGTCAGAGCTGATGATTAAATCAATGAGAAGAGTTAGTTGAGGAATGAGTTTGGTCAGTCAGAAATTGGGATTTAAGGAAAAATCCAGCCGGGTGCGGAGGCTCATGCCTGTAATCCAGCACTTTGGGAAGCTGAGACGGTGGATCACCTGAGGTCAGGAATTTGAGACCAGCCTGGCCAACATGGTGAAAACCTATCTCTACTTAAAATACAAAAATTAGCCAGGTGTGGTGGTATGCGCTTGTAGTCCCAGCTACTGGAGAGGCTGCAGCAGGAGAATCGCTTGAACCTGGGAGGTGGAGGTTGCAGTGAGCTGAGATGGCTCCACTACACTCCAGCCTGGGGTACAAAGTGAAACTTCATTTCAAAAAAAAAAAAAACACACAGAAGGAAAATGAAAATCATGAAGAAGGGGGGCAGGGTAAAGTAAGTGTGGAGGAAAGAAAGAACTTTCAAAATTAGTGTCATTGCAGCTTTAAATTTCTAGCAGAGTGTTTCTAGAAATGAAATCAAGAGAAAGTCTTGCACCAGATATGGGTCATGTGGTGTATTAGTCTGTTCTCACACTGACATACAGAAATACCTGAGACTGGGTAATTTATAAAGGAAAGAAGTTTCACTGATTCACAGCTCCCCATGGTTGGGGAGGCCTCAGGTTTCAATCATGGTGGAAGGCACCTCTTCACAGGGAGGCAGGAGTGAGAATGAGTGCTGAGGGAAGCGGGCAGAGACCCTTATAAAACCATCAGATCTCATGAGAACTCACTTATTATCACAGGAAAAGCATGGGGGAAACTGCCCACATGATTCAATTATCTCCACCTGGTCCTGCCTTTGACATGTGGAGATTATTACAATTCAAGATGAGATTTGGGTGGGGACACAGAGCCAAACCATACTATATGGTATGTTCAACTTTCTACTGCAGGCTCTGATCAACCATTGATGACTTATCAGCAAGAGAATGACATTTAAGAGTAATGTGTCTAACTGCAATGAGAGTGTGCAAAGGCAGGGTTTCAGGACCAACACAGGGGGCCAATTTAAGAAACTCCTAGAATAATGTAAGAAAAGGTGATAGCACATCCTGAACCAGAGAGATAAATGGAGAGGAGCATTGAAAAGGAAAGGAGAAATAGGATAATGTTTGTAAAAGTAAATTCAGCAGGACTTGATGAATTGTTTGACCTGGATCTTGCAGAAAATAGGGAACTAAGAATATGTTCTCATCTACTAGATTTTGATGATCCCAATTGTAGTTACCAATCAGAGGTGAGTTTGATGTTTTGAGGATGATCATCACGGAACCCTTTAACCTTAGGGATTTAAATGCATTTAAGGGAAAGTCCTAAGCAAGAGACAAAAAAAAAAAAAAAAAAAAAAAAGTGTACAAGAGAAAGAGGGGGCAGAGGACTGCAGATGAATGGAGATCACATTAAGTAGAGAGATAAAGGAAGTAGGAAGCAGAGATGCACTATGCAATTACTTAGAAGTGGAAGGATGTTTAGGAGTTGGGGATGTTGAGCTTGTGTTTACCGATACATTTACTGATAATTTCTGCATAAAACTATTATTTTTCTCATGATGGAAAGAACTGTTACAAATGAGAATATCACAGAAGGACTAAAATGATCAAATAGTTGGGTAACTGCTGTAACATGGACTTGGGAACAGAGACAGACTATGAGCCAGGCTGGATAGAAACTGTGCTGCATGCATTGGTGTCTTCCCATTGGCTTGAGCTTGTCCATTGTGCAGCAACAGATGGTTCTTACCTCTGAATAGTAACCTTGACATGTTGAATATTAAATGATAATAAATATCTTAGTAACTCCCTTACAAATAATAATGCAGGATAGGTGCACCCTAATTGTTCATTGATTATATATAATGTAAAGATTAAATGAAGCATTTTGGGGGAATGTTATGATAATAATAGCTAATACATTTCTATTTGGAAGGTTAAAAAAACCTTGATAATCCATGAAGACAAAAAGCAAGAGCCGAAGAGAACAAAGTATCAAAACAGTGAAAATTTTAAAGATTTAGATGTATAGAAGCAGACAGACACATAAGGAAATATTCTGTAGCAACTCATAGTCTTCCCTGGAAATTCTGAACTGGTAGAGGATACAGAATCAGATTTTTGCCAAATGTATTCAGTTATGTGAGGAATAGAGAGTTGATATCTGCATTACGTAAATAATTTTCCTGTAACAGTCTCACTTGGGAATGGAGTATACCAATGATGTTATTGTAGACTTTGAAGTGTCAACAGATTAAATTGATCATTTTAAATAATTAATGTAATGTGAATACTATAAAACATACAGACATTCGATTGTCAGTATGTGAATTAAAATGTTAACAGTGCATTTGTGTGGAAATCTTGTTCTTGAATAATCTGCAGATTTGAAAATTGAGGGGGTCATTCCAGCAATTTTTTTTGTTGCAGGGCTCATTGCTTCTTCTTCTGAGATTGGCTTTACTGACGACAGTTTCTTTAATGTTGGATGCTAAGGTAAATCATTTTAATGTATACATAATCAGTAGTACTGTGAGAGAGTTAATATATCTGCCATAAGTAAACCAATTCTTTTCTGATTTGTAATTTAAGAAGCAGATTTAAATTGGCTTTCCAAAATGAGTCAAGAAAATGAACCTGAATCTCAAAGAAGTGAGTGCCCGGAGGAATAAACTTAATTGACGCGTTGAAATGTTCCTGAAAGTTTTCAGAGTAATAGAGGCTATTTTAGGGCCAAAACACCTATAAAGAGATCTTTAATATCCTAAGTTGTTTTCATGAAAGAGTGAATGAATCTCCAAAACAGTAAACAGTTCACAACGTTTTGGGGGATAGGTTTTCTGCCTTTTAAGCATAATATAAATGGAAACTGTTGTTTATTTTCTATAGTCAAGCAAAGTATTACATGCCACTGCTAATGGGAAAACCACTTACACACTTGCCTAAACAGCAATTCCATTCTTTAGAAGCAATGATAAATGTTCTTTCTTTTGAATGCGAATAAGGAATTACTTGACTACAAACCATTCATTCTAGTATTATTAATTATGTAGAGAATTTCGTGATTTAATGGAATTTAGATAGCCTTGCAGGAAGCATTGCGATTTAGTAATGTACTGACAATTAGCTAAGAAAGGTATCATGTATATTTGATCCCTATTTCTAGACATCAACCTCTGATACATTAGAAGCATGAGGAATAAAAAATACATTATTAGTCATTTTGGGGCACTAAAAATGTCTTCTTTAAAGAAGAGAAAACATTTTTGTGAAAAAAGAGGAATTGTATAATAAAATTGATTTCATAGCAAGACTGAAGTATCTAAAGGGCTTTGTGTGTGAGAAGTAAATTGAGCTACTTCAAATAAAAAAATAGAAAATGTTAAGAGTTAATAGTTGTTCCTTAGAACTGTATCTTTTTCACTTTAGGATTCCCATAGCACTTTGGGCTTTTCTTGTAGTACATATTAATTTATCTATTGCTTTACACTTATTTATTCTTGTCTTGCCGCTTTAAAGAACATTTGCATCTTTTATACGTGATGGCATATAACATTGGCTTTAAAGAGGCCTAAGTTAAAATTCTTGGCTGATGTAATGACAATCTTTGTCCTCAATGTTCATGTTTAAAAACGTGGGAAACTATGGAAAAAATAAAATCTTGGAGAGGTTTTCTTGTCATGAAGTTAATTAAGGTAAGCACTGTAGGAAGAGTCCAATGAAAACTGCAGGCTATCTTGGTCGTTCTTTATATAAATCTATTATCAATACGTCAAGAATGCCTCTTACATTGCATTAATCATTGCCCAGAGGATACTAGAAATAAATTCATGATAATGTCATTTGAGAGTTAATGTATGTCATTAGGTTTAATGGATTAGAGCATCACTTAATGAAATGAACAGATATAGGATAGGCTTTATCTTTAAGAAATGATGATAAAATAATGTATTAATAGGTTTAGACTTAGCTTTAAATAATAGAAAACCAAACTAAAACAGAAGTGACTTAAACAAGTTAGAAGTTTATTATTATCTCCCAAAGAAATTCAGAATTAGGTAATTCAGGGCTGGCATGGTATTACACGATATCAGAGACTCAAATTCTCAATCTTGTTAACCTTCATTCAGGCCTCCATGACCCATGTCACCTCGTGGACCAAAATTGCTGCTCTAGATCCAGCCATTATATCTGCACTTTAACCAACAGAAAGTAAGAAAAGAAAAAGAAAAGCATGTGCCCTCAGTTATAGGGCAATACTCTTAGAAACCTGTTGACCAGAATTTAGTTCCTTAACTAAAAGGAAAGCTGGTAAATATTGTCTTCCTTTTGGATACTATATGCAAAGATCAAAATCAGAGTTCTACTACCAAGCAGGCTGAAAAAATAAATATTGGAAGACTTTGGGCTGTCACTGTAATGTATATATTATTGTATCCATCATCTACATAAAAATATTTAAAAATAAATTTTATTGAGTATATTTGAGATTTATAATGCGATGTAATTGAGAAACATAGATAGTAAAATATTTACTATAGTGAAGCTGATTAAGACGGCTATCATATCACAGTTGCTGTTTTTGTGACAAAAGCAGCTAAAATCTCTTTATTCAACAAAAATCCCTATTACAGTAACATTTTATTAACTTTAGTCCTCATATTTTATATTAGACCTCCAAACTTGTTTATTCTATGTATCTGCTATTTTGCATCCTTTGACCCAAAGCTCCCCATTTCCTCTCTCATTCCTCTCACTATATATATATATATATATATATATATATATATATGAGCTCAAATATATGTCATTCATGTAAGTGAGACCATGCAAGATTGTTCTTTCTTATCTGGATTATTCACTTAACACTGTGTCCTTAGAGCCATCTCTGCTGTGGCAAATGTCAGGGACTTCTTGTTTTTTAAGACTGAATAATGCTTCATTGTGTATATATAAAAATTTTCTTTATTCGTTAGCTCATCGATGGACATTTAGGGTGTTCCCATACCTTGGCTATTGTGGCTAACGCTGTAGTGAACATAGGTATGCCAATATCTTTATGCTGATTTTAATTCCTTTAGGTATATACCCAGAAGAGGAATTTCTGAGCCCTCTGGTAGTTCTATTTTTAATTTCTTTAGGAATCTTCATACTGTTTTCCGTAGTGGCTGTACCAATCTACATTCTTATCAGTGGTGTGCTGGGATTTCCTTCTCGCCATACCCTCACCAGCATTTGTTATATTCTATCTTTTTGATAATAGCCATTCTTACAGATGTGTGATGATATCTTAATTATTTTAATTAGCATTTCCTTGATGATTAGTGATGTTGAACACCTTTCATAAATCTGGTGGCCAATTTTATGTCTTTTTGGAGAAATATATCTTTGGGCTCTTTGCTCATATTTTAATGGGGTTGTTTGTTTTTCTCCTATTGAGTTGTAAGTGTTCTTTATAAGTGTTGGATACTATCCTCTTATCAGATATATGATTTGCAAATATTTTTCCTGGTTGTAAGTTGCCTTTTCATATTTTAAGTTGCTTCTTTTGCTATACAAAGGCTTTTTAGTTTAAAGTAGTTCCATTTATTTATTTTTGCTTTTGTAGCCTGAGCTTTGGGTTTCACCTTAAATAAAATTATGATAAAGGCCAAAGTCAAGAATACTTTCCTTTATGTTCTCTTCTAGGTGTTTTACGATTTTGGGTCTTACATTTAGGTCTTTTGTCTATTACAAGTTGATTTTTGTGTATAGTCTAAGCTAACAGTCCTCCTTCATTTCTTTGCATGTGTAAATCCAGTTTTCCCAACACAATTTATAACTTCCATTAGGTTATTGTGATGTGCTTGTCAAAAATTGCTTAAACATATGTGTTTGGATTGCTTGTTGGGCTTTCTATTCTGTTCCATTACTCTATGTTTCTGTTTTTATGACAGTACCATAATGTTTTGATTACTGTAGCTTTGTAATATAAACTTAAATTAGGAATAAAGCATTCAACTTTATTTTCTTTTCAGTATTACTTTGTATATTCAGAGCTTTTGTGGTTCTACACACATTTTAGGATTGTTTTCTTCTATTTCTATGAAAAATGCTATTGAAGTTTTGATACAGATAACCTTAAATATGTATACTGCTTTGGGTAGTATAAATATTTTAACAATACTATTTCTTCTCACCCATGGGTGAGAACATGGGGTATATTCTCATTTATTTGTGTCTTATTTAGTTGCTGTAATCAATGTTTTATAGTTTTTAATGTTCATATCTTTAACTTTTTTGAGTAAATTGATTTGTAGTCATTTTTCATGCTTTCATAAGTGGGATTTTTAAAGAATTTATTTTCAGAAAGATCATTACTTTGGTATAGAAATAGTACTGATTTTTGTATGTTAATTTTGTGTCCTGCAACTTTATTGAATTGATTTGTTAGTTCTAGCAGTTCTGAGGTAATCATGGCATCTGCAAATAGAAGTCATGTTACTTCTTCCTTTCTGATTTGGATGCCTTTTATTTATCTTGTCTATTGCTCTTGCTAGGACTTCTAATACATTGTGAACGAGAGTGATGGGCGTGGACATCTCTACCTGGTACTGGATCATAGTGGAAAGTTTTCAGTTGTTCCCCATTGATTATGATGTTAGCTGTTTTCTGTGGTATGTGTGCGTGGATTTTTGTTTGTTTGTTAGTAAATAAAGGGCCTTTATAACATTGAGGAGCTTTTCTTTTATACCTAAACTGTTCAGAGCTGCCATAATTCACACTGAACAGAATGCAGGAGCCTAGGTTAAAACAAGACTGAGTTTGTGCCTCATTTACACCTTTCATTTGCTCTTTGAAATTGAAAACTTGCTTAAACGCTATTTCTGTTTCTTCAATTATAAAATAAGGTATTACCTACACCATATCTTCTGAGTGAAGAGTAAATGATTTTATCGTTATAAACGTGTTAACACAATGGATTACACATATTGCTCACTCCAAATGCTCGTTCTATTATCATCACCACATTTAAATACATTCCGACGTTTATATCTTCTGCCTATACACGTACACCACATATTTATTCTCACATAAAAAAATTTCTAAAATTCTTCCATCTATTTATAAGAAGAACTATTAATATGTTCACCTTACAGAATGGTAAAGACTTTCTGAGAATAGAAAACAAACACACAAAAGAAAAACTAGAACCTGGGTTAAGGGAAAGCCTTGTGATTTAAAGGGTATGAGACCTGGAGTCATCTGCTAAAGAATCAAATGTTTAACTTGAAGGAGAATGGGCAAGGGCATTTTTTTTTTTTTTGAGAAAATGCTTTTACATTACAGTGAGGAATAATATTCCCAGCCAAGGAGCCAGGGTTTATATCCCAAGGGAAGTGTCAGTGATGACTAGGTTTCTCTCTCTGTCTTAGAAGGGGAGAGTTGGCAACTCTGTAAACTGTCCTATAGGGTCGTAGTCATCATTATGGCTGGCTTCCTTTCCCATTACTCTG